TCCAGCTCCTGGCAGTTGGGGCAGTCGCAGGTAGACCGGCCTGCCCCGCTGCCCGCATACCCGCCGCTGCCCCCCGCGCCTGCACCCCGAGGGGCTTTGCCTGCCCCGCTCCCCTCCAGCTGCCCGCTATTGCCAACTGCCTTGGGCTTATAGACATCTTGGGGTAGGACATGCTGGGGCCCTGGTTGTAAGAGGTGGGGCGCTGGGTAGGGAGCTGGATTAAGGGGGGCAAAGTCAGATGGGTAAGTAGGCAGCTGGGGGTTCAGTGGAGGCTGGGCAGGGCCCGTGGAGAGCGTCCCTTGCAGCCCATCACCCTGGGCCTGCCCACCCCCTAGCCAGTTGCCCCCAGGGTGCACATCCCACCAAGGAGTGGGCGTGGTGCCCGGACCTGGCGAGATGCCTGCATGGATGCCGGCCTTGTACCAGGAACCATAGGGATGTGCCATCTCCAGGGAGGTGTAGACACTAGGCAGGCAGTCGGAGGAGCTGTGCCCCTTGGGCACTAGTAGCCCAGGGTCTTGGGCACCGGTCGGCCCAGGGAAGGAGTGGGGAAAGGGTGGGTAGTCATTGGCATAGCCAGCGGCCGGGGCTGGAGGACTGCCTGCGGGTGAGAGGAGTCCATTGGTGCCTGAAAAGGGAGCTGGGTAGGCATCCCCCATGGTTTTGGCAGCGGAAAGGTCAGAGTATGGCTTCTTCGTGCTTCCTTTTCCCAGCGTTGCTGAGTCCCGCAGAGGGCTGGAGCCACCAAATTTGCTGCAAGCTGCTGTCAGCATGGCCAGGGGACTGGAGCCATAGTGAGCTTCTTCCTGGGGAGAGAGGGGCGGAGTGAAGGGTGGGGCTGCAGGACTGGGACCTCCAGACAAGGAGGGCAGAGGGCAGAGCTGGGGGTTAGAGGTTAAAGAGGGGAAGAGTGGTGGGCCAGCGAGGCCAGGCAGGCCTATGGTGGAGTGAATGGGCTGTACAAATGTCTCTGAAGAGCTGAGATTAGAGAAGCAGCTGGCTGAGTTGAGATTCAGGGCCTGGACCCCGAGGAAAGTACATTTGAAGCAGACAGAAGCCAAGCTATGGCCAGGGCCTCCAAAAAAAAAAAAAAATATATATATATATAATAATATATATATAAATATAGATATATATATATATATATATATATATTCCTCCAAAAAGAGCCTGGCATGGGCAGCACTTAGGTGGAGCTAAGGAAGACCAGAACCTCAGGTCATCCTCAGTTACACAGCAGATTCCAGGCCAGACAGGTGGCCTAGACCCCATCGAGACATTAAACAGGCTGGGTACAGTGGCCCGCATTCTGGAGGCAGAGGCAGGAGGATCTCTGTGAGTTCAAGGCCAGCATGGTCTACATGGTAAGTTCCAGAACAGCCAGGGCTATGCAGACAGACTCTGCCTCAAAAACAAACAAACAAAAGCCTAGCTCCTCGGGAGCCTGGGGCAGGACAGTCACTTGAGCCAGGAGTTGGGAACCAGGATACCTCATCCTGTACCCTCTCCACAGAGACCACCGTGGGGCCCAGACTGAAACAGCAGCCCTGAGCACACTATCTGACCCCTTTCCAGACTTTTCTGACTTCACCTCATTCCATTTCTGACCTCTGTTTCAGCTCCTGATTAAGGAGCCGTTGCCTCGTCTCCGAGGTCAAGCCCACATGTCCCTACTGAGGAATCTCTTGGCATGGACTTCTGGACCTGGGAAGCCAGGACAGGACAGCAGAGACACTGGGACATTGAGAGGGAGCAGGGCCTCAGCCAAGCCTGGACTGTGGTGAGGCAAGAATCTTTTAAGCAGGCACTGGGCGCCCCCTGCTTTGTGGTACTAGCTGGTATCCCTTTGGGCAGTAGAAGAGTACAAAGTCCTCAAGACTTCCTGAGACAGGGAGCCAGTTTCCCCTACAGCCTTAGCCACTGTGTCTTAGTGTCCTCCAACATAGGGTACATAAGGTTGGTGGGGCATCTTACCATTGAAGTGCAGTGAAGGAGGGAAGGCAGGGAAGTGGGCTTGAGGGGTGGGGTCTTTTAGAACACAGAGGCAGCCAGGCAGGTGGCGCACGCCTTTAGTCCCAGCTCTGGGGAGGAGAGGCAGGCAGATTTCTATGACTTCAAAGCCAACCCAGTCTACAGAACAAGTTCTAGGACAGTCAGGGCTACACAGAGAAACCTTGTCTCAAAAAAAAAACCAAAACAACAACAACAACAAACTAAAACATAAGAAAAAAAGAAGGAAGTCTCTCCTTGATGCCTGCCAAGCTGCTGTGGCCAATCTGACACGCTCAGGACCACCACTCCTCAGGAGCCCCTGGTCCCTCCTTACGTCAGAGTCACAACCTCTTGGGAAGAATCGCAGCATCCTTGGCTAGAATGTGCAAGGTCCTAGGTTCAACCAAATCAGCTCACAAAAAAAGAGAGAGAGAGAGAGAGAGAGAGAAAATAAAGACATCCTCCAAAGGCTTGAGCTCATGAGACCAGCGACACTTGTGGGTAAAGGCATTTGCCACCAAGCCCTGTGACCTAAATTCAACCCCACAACCCATACTGTGGAAGGCAGGAACTCCCACAAAGCTGTCCTCTACCTTCCTCACAGGCTATGACATGGCATTCATATAAATACACCCTTCACTCTCTGTCTCTTTCTCTCTCTCTCTCTCTCTCTCTCTCTCTCTCTCTCCTGTGTGTGTGTGTGTGTGTGTGTGTGTGTGTGTGTGTGTGTGTACCAAACATTTTTTAAAGGCTAGCCATTGGGGCTGGAGGATGTCTTGGCAGTTAAGAGTGCTCACTGTTTTTCCAGAGAACTGGGGTTAGGTTCCCAGCATACACAGAGCAGCTCAGAATCATTTGTTACTCTAGTTCTGAGTGATCCAACTCCTTTCACAGGTACCCAAAACACACATGCTATATATACATATATTTAGGAAAACGCCCATACATGTAAGAAAAGAAAAGTGCTAGATGTGGTGCGTGCCTTTAATCCCAGCGCCGGGGAGGCAGAGGCAGACAGACCTCTGAGTTCAAGGCCAGCCTGGTCTACAGAATGAGTTCCAGGACAGCCAGGGCTACACAGAGAAACCCTGGAGAGATAGCTCAGAGGTTAAGAGCACTGTCTGCTCTTCCAGAGGTCTGAGTTCACTTCCCAGCAACTACACGGTGGCTCGCAACCATCTATAGTGAGATCTGGCGCCCTCTTCAGGCACACGCCTGTACATGCGGATAGCGCACTCAGACAAAACACAAAATCTTTAAAGAAAAGGAAAGAAAGGAAAGTCAGTTGTCTAATTGTCTGATGTCTCCAGTAAAACATACAAAGGAGACAGGAATTCTCAGACCAGCCTACTGGCTCCTAATGTGTCTGCGATGTGGTGCCAAATCCTGGAGGTGAGGCTGGGGTTCCGAGGTTTTAGTCACTGCTCCTGTACTGCACCCTGCCCAACACTCCGACTCTGTGTGTGTCTCTGTGTGTGTCTCTGTCTCTCTCTGTCTCTGTCTGTCTCTCTGTCTTTCTCTTTCTGAGGTCCTCTCAATCCTGTGGACTCCCAGACATGAGCCACCAAAACCTTGTCCAACAGTACCCTCCTGGGCTCTCCCAGCGAGCGTTTCACTGGAGCCTATAATGGAGGAGGAAGAGCTGAGGGACTGGAGTCAAATCTTAGCCTGAAGGAGAGGTAGCAACAGGAGAGTTCAAGGACACATGGTGCCCCAAAAACATGGCCCACAAAGGACACTGAGCCTGAGGAACTGCCATGCAAAGCTCCACAGAGGAGGAGGGCCCACAAAGGGAGAAGCTCGCATTAAGAGGCAGAGATGGACGGGCAAGTTAAAAGACAAAAGGGAGGGAGAGTGAGGAAAGCAGAATAAACAAAGAGGTGGTAAGAGGGCCTGGGCCAGGAAAGCGAAGGAAAACACAGGAAAAGACGGGAGGTGAAGGACGAGAGAGGAGGAAGGCGTTCACTTCCCACCCAAGAGAAGCCCACCATGGCGATGGGCTCCAGAAAACCCCCAGACCGGGCAACTCCTCCCTCCTTCTCCCCGTTAGCTGCCGCCCCCTCCCCCTCTGCCCAGCATGGCCCTGCTCGGCTCCGGTGGCTTCCCTGCGGTCGGTTTATTTTTAAAAACGCCGACGCGGTCCCCCGCCTGCCCGGCCCTCACACTGTGGCCACAAGGGCCTCAGCCAAGCCCTGGGACCCCACCCAGCTGTGGGGAAGCAGGGAGGGGTGAAAGAAGACAGCCAACCCTAGGCTAACATGAGACCCCGAGTTTGGGGAGCAAGGCCAACTGGGCCCCTGAAGGCCAGAAGGAAAACCAAAGTACTGGAGTCTTCTGAGAGCCAGCGCTGGAGGCTAAGTTCTAGCATCCTCAGTTTCCTCTTCTGGCTGCTTGCTCTCTGAGAGCTGAGGAAAGCTTCAGGGCTCTGAGCATGTGCCCCTTTATCTGAGCTCACGCATCACCTTGTAGAAACCAGGGTACCCACTCTCCGGTTTCCAGTTCCATACCCCACCCCACCACCCTTTAAAATAAAAAGTTTAACCATTCTGGCGGCCCACGCCCTTGATCTCTTCACTCAGAGACAAGTGGATCTCTGTGAGTTTGTGAGTTCCAGGCCAGTCAGAGCTTCACAGTGAGAAATTGTCTCAAAAACCAAAATTAGAAGGGCCTGGTGGTGCACACCTGCCTTTAATCCAGCACTCAGGAGGCAGAGGCGGGCAGATCTCTCTGAGTTCGAGGCCAGCCTGGTCTACAAAGTGAGTCCGGGACAGTCAAGGATACACAGAGAAACCCTGTTTTGAGAAAACAAAACAAAAAAAACAAAAAAAAAAAAAAAAACTAAATTAGCCGAGTCAGGCAGTGGTGGCACAGGCCTTTAGTCCCAGTGTCCTAGAGGCAGAGGTAGTCAGATCTCTGAGTTCAAGGCCAGCCTGATCTATAGAGCAAGATCCAGGACAGCCAGAGCTACACAGAGAGACCCTGTCTCAAAAAGGAAGGAGGGAGGGAGGAAGAGAGGAAGAAAGGAAGGAAGGAAGGAAGGAAGGAAGGAAGGAAGGGAAGAAGGAAGGAAGAAAGGAGGGAGGAAGAGAGAAAAGAAGGAAGGAAAAAAGGAAGGAAGAAAGGAGGGAGGAAGAGAGAAAAGAAGGAAGAAAGGAGGGAGGGAGGGAGGAAGGAAGGAATAAGGGAGGGAGGGAGGAAGGAAGAAAGGAAGAAAGGAGGGAGGGAAGAAGGAAGGAAGGGAAGGAGGGAAATGAACTACAGGCTTAGCGTACTGAAATAATAGTCTGTAAAGAAAGGTCATGCCAGCAGCTGTCTCAGTTGGTTTTTGCTGTGGTGTCAAGTGAGTCAAGGGGACCCCCTCTTTCCAAGCACCTCGAGGTGGAGATGCTCCCTATACACCTGCGGGGTGGGACAGACCCCACATCTGTTGAGCACCTGCGGACCCTGTTCCTAATTCCCAGCGTTCTTCCAAGTTTCTTCTTCACGAAGCCTTATAGTTCTTACAATTTTATTTTCTTTTTAATGCATATCTTTTAGCATGCTAGGAACTGAAGGCTAAAGGTCTCTTCCATGCTGAGCAGCCACTCCAGCACCAGGCTATATCTGACTCTAGCTCAGTTCCCAGTTCCTTGCCCACTGTCCTTTCCCGCTCATCTCCCCTTCCTGGTCCCCTCTCAGTTCGACCAGTGTCTTATCCCCAGCAGCTGCTTTGCTCTCTGAATCCCTGGCTTCTCCCACTCCTGAAGAACCCACCTCTACTGTGTAAAGGGATTCCAAAGGCATTGGGAGGAGATAAGGAGCCCAGGACCCCAAAAACTAAGTAAAAGAAAAGGGGAGACTGCCTGATGTAGTGGCAGGATTTTAATCCCAGCACCAGGGTGGGGGAGGGGAGGCAGAGTGTGAGTTTG